CCGCCTCTGTCTTGCACCAAATAAACAAAATCCAAACCCACTGCCATTATGGTTCCGAGTGACCCTACCAAGAGATTCCATGACTATAAATCTTTACAGGAACAGACAACCTTATCTTTATCCTGTGGGGCAACTCCTGGGCTTAAACCGGAAACCTTGTGGTTAGTACTCCAACATCTAGCCCACAGTGCCACCAGGACTACTTAACCCCCATCTCCCAGGTCCTGCCCTCACTGGACAAAGGGGAATGAAAATCAAGGGGGTTACACTCAGCAAAAATGTTTCTTGGGCTAAAAGAAAGCAGCAGCCAGGGTGGGGCTGCGTGTAGCTGTCAAGCCCAACCTTCCAGCTTCCTTAGAGCTGCTGCGGCTACGTCTCTACCTTGCCCTCCTCTCCTGCCAAGGCCTGCTGTCTCTAGAGACACCCCCGGCCCGGAGCACTGGTGACTACTCCATCTGGTTTGGGCTTCTGGCCATTGGACAGGGACTATGAAGACCCAGAGGGCAAAAGGACCATGAGGCAGGTGGGCCCGAGCAGACACTGAATGAACATAAATCACTTCCGCTATGGCCTCCTAAAATGGCCATTCTATGCTGCTCTGGCCCGTGGTTATTAAATGTACACTGAACATCTGTCGCGCACCCTGGACGGTGTATTCTGAGCTCTGCAGAACAAGCAACGTGTGATGTCCATCCTCTCTGAAAATCAACCTTGCAAAGAGCCCCCTTCCTTACCACTTCTACCCCATCCCCTGCCTTTTTGGTTATATAAGAGTAATGAAACCACATTTCCAAAATTTGAGACTAAGAAGGAGAGAGAGAAAAATCACTGTGCAGCCTCCTCTTCTCTCTTACCTTTAATTTCTATACTTTTGTAGAATCTGATTCTGTGCGCACTTTATGAGGCTATAGTTCACTCAGTCACCACCTGTGTTTACTGCATAATCTTTACAATGGCCCTACCATCTTTTATTATATCAGACAATTTGGTCTTTCCAATATTTGCTGTTATAATTCCAGTTATGATGAACATCTTCATGTGTATAGCTGTCCTCTATTTTGTTTGGATTAATTTCTACAGAGAGATTTCCAGAAATGATGTTACTAAATCAAAATAGAAATGGTTCAAACCTTTGCATTTAAACCCTTTCTGGATGTGCTTTCAGGGGGCAGAGAAGGGTGGAGGGGTGGGAGGGGCCTGTTCTGATCTGAATCCCACCAGCCTTTTCTGTCACTGGGATAACCATCTAAAACAGTGCTAACTCGATATACCAAAATGCGGCTCTTTCTTACTTAAATGCATGCTTCATTTGGAGCAACCTTGGTAAACATCAGTACTCCTCTAGGATTCTTACTAATAGGCCAGAATGTTTTAGAGCAGCGGCTCTCAACCTGTGGGTGGCAACCCCTTTGGGGGTCAAATGACCCTTTCACAGGGGTCACCCAATTCATAGCAGTAGCAAAATTACAGTGATGAAGTAGCAATGAAAATAATTTTATGGTTGGGGGGGTCACCACAACATGAGCAACTGTATTGAAGGGTGGCAGCATTAGGAAGGTTGAGAACCACTGTTTTAGAGGGCAAGCATGAAAATAGTATTTTTTTTTTAATTTTGAAAATAGTATTCTTTCCTATAAAACCTGTAGGTCCTAGGACACAGAGCTGCCCATATATTCTAACAGTCTAGGACTTGAAGCCCTTCCTTCCTGTGATTGCTAAAGGAAGGTAACGGAAGTGAGCCGGTGAGGCTGATAATGGGATCTGAGTTTAAATCACAGCATAGGGTCCTGGAAGGTCAATGTCACAAAAAGAAAACCCAAGGAAAAGTTTCTGGCATTTCTCGCCCTGTGGTTCAAAGACATGGGGATCCCCACCTGCAGCCCACGCATAGGCCCCTGGTGTCTGTTTGCATTCTACAGATGAGGATGGAAGACTGGTGAGATGAAGTAGCATGCCCGGGTCACTTGTCCATCAGGACTCCTGGAGTGGAGATTTCCACCCAAAGGCCCGACTCAAACAAGGCCTGACAAATGCACTCGATGGTCACAATAGGCATCACCGGTGGAATAAGAGCCAGGTGCCACTGGCTATAATGACAGTGTAAGCAGTTGGGGGCCTTTGCACATAGTAGTGTTGATAAGCATCTCTATGATCTAAAGCGATGTGTGAAGAACTGTATCCAAATGCAAGCGGTCTGAATACCAAATTCCACCAAGGACACAGAGACATGCTGGTTTCTTTAAATAAGCAAAGTGCTGAAAATAGATCAGAAGTGGGACCCCAAGATTCTAAGAACAGATTAATTTTTGATCTGGAAATCGTAGTATAAGGGAGGCACTTAGAACATAGCCCTTCATCAAACCCCAGGCTTTTTCTAGGGTCAGCAGTTTCTCTTTGCTTAGAAGCCTCTGGAAGGTGGGGCTGGACAGGGGCCTGCAGAAACACTGGAGAGAAGAGGCAGTCACAATGGCTCCGGGAGTGATTCCGGGCGCTACTGGACTTGGCAGCACTTGGTGTCCTACACTGACTGGCACGCAGCTCCCATTGCCTCTTGGGAACAGAGACCTGGGGAGAAGAAGGCTAAGCTTAGAAAAGCAGCTACCTGCTACAGCCACTGTAGCATGGTGGCAGATAGGAGGAAGGCAAGAGATGTAAAGATGAAAAGGTGTTTAACAAATGTGCTCCTGAGTCTCCCCACAGCCCCCATCCCACCCCATGTACTCATAGATGCTGTTCTTAACTGTGCAAATAAAACAACTCCATTCTCCTTCCTAAAATATTTCTCTTTGGCCATCAGCAGATGCTGATGATTTCCTGGGTTACACCCTTGGCTGCTCTCTGTCAGGTTAGCAGTTTGAACCCACCAGTAGCTCCGCAGAAGAAAAATGAGGCTGAGTACTCCCGGAAACTCCAGAGGGCAGTTCCTCTCTGACCTCTAGAGTTGCGATGAGTCAGAATCAACTCGATGGCAGTGGGTTTGGTTTGGGGTTTGATCACCAGACCCTGTGCTGGGTCTCTTCCTCTCACCTGCCTCCCCTCACTTCGAAAGGAAAAAGGATTCCTTAATTAGCATTCCTCCAAACCTGTCCAGAAGGGAGGCATGGGAACGAGGGAGAAGAGGAAGAAAGCTTCTTTTGTCCTGCCTACCTCCAATTTTACTCAGCTCCAAGAGCCCCAGGGGCTCACACTACAACGGACTCTAACGGGGCCGGGTGGGCTCTGGGAGACCATGTGCACCCGGGCTGCAGCCCACTGGACAGCTTCTGCCTGTGAGGCTGCCCACAATGGTGGGGACCACAAGGAGAAAGGCAGAAACACAAGGGCAGAATGACTGTGCTTCTGGGCACAATCACATATTATTCAGAACACATATTGTTGCTTGATTGCTTCTGCGAAGCCACGCAACCCCGGGATTCCTCTCTACTGACCACTCCTCCCCCGCTAGGCAGGAGCAGCTCTGGAAATTTCTCTTGGCTCGACCTAAAGGATATCAGTTAGCATCCAATGTCAGCGAGTCAGATTCATCCTCAACTAGGCGCTCCTTGCAGAGCCCCAGATTGACATATGACTCTACCAAGATGTTTCAGTTGCCTCAGCTCACAAGACTAAAGGCAAGTTCTCCTCAAGCCTGCTCTTTCTCAGTCAATGTTAAAACTGCCCATCAATTGCCAACCCCCAAGCAACCTTCTCTCTCTCTCTCTCTCTAGTAAACCCCACCGTCTCTCAAAAAGAGAAAAAAACTCCACTGGGCAGAACTTCTGTAGTACCCATTTTTCCCACTAGGTGAACATTCAGCAACTCGCTCGGAGTTAGTGCAGCCAGTGGCATTGCCTGGGAAGGTTCTCTACGGTTACAGTGAATATTTTCGTAAAAGTAGTTTTGCTGGAACCTCGTTTTTTGTGATGGTCGATTTAAGAGAACAGCGTGTGGCTGTGAGATTTTGTTTCCTGCTTGGGAAAAATGCCGCAGACACTGTTGAACGCAGCTTATAAGGACAGTGTTATGGGAAAAAAATCAAGGGTACAAGTGTTTTTTGTTGTTGTTGTTTCAAAAAAAAAGTGAAATGTCGATTGATGACAAACCTTGCTGGACAGCCACCAACTTCCCGAAGGGACGAAAATGTGGACTTGTAGTGCATTTGGAGTGTGTTCCACCAGGTCAGACTATTAATCAAGCTTTCTATTTAGAGGCTTTGAAAAGATATCATAACTGTGTGACAACAAAGGCCTGTTTCACGGCAGATAGGGGAACTGGTTTTGCCACCACAACAATGCACCTGCTCACACAGCCATCTCAGTGTGCCAGTTTTAGGCAAAAAACAGCATGCCTCTCTTGCTCCACACAC